TTCCCCGGCAACTTCGGTGGCAGAATCGAAGCTGCAATAAATAAAAGACGTTTCGGCCCCTTGGGCTCTTTCCACAAAAGAAGTCGCCACTCGGACTGGCCTTCTATGGATGGTTATTCTATGGTGTTGTTGTCGGCTGTTGTTGCAACTTGAGAATGCAATGTGGGAATTCCGCTCTTTGGGTTCTCTTAAGTTTTTCTGAAACGAAACCCCCCAGATTCCCAATTTTCTCAGCTGGGGTTTGTTATTGTTTTTATTGCCATTTTGCCGGTTGGCGAGCAAAGCGAACCACATGAATGAATATGAATATGAGTGCGTGCTCGTTCTCTTTCTCTTTCTCGCTCTATTGGCGTTCGGAAACTTCGGTTCGAGTTTGAACGGAATCACTGGAGCTTCGTGTTGCATCAAACCTGCTCGATGTCATCTATGTGATTTGTGGGGGCGGTGCGGTGCGGTGCGATGCGGCAATAACCGGAAACGGAAATCATATTTGGGCAAGTTCTAATGCCATCAACGATTGCAATTAAATGGCCAAAATGTCAATTGTTTTAAGCCTGCGAAAGGGACAGAAGCCGAAGTGCGAAAGGGACAGCGCCAGAGCCTGGCCCTGCCATTAACCGTTAATGCACGGATCGTAAATCGAATTGAAAGGAAGGTGTGTCATACGGACTTATAAATAAAATTAACAACCAGCCAACCGATTCGTGGTATAAGAAAGAGGGGAGGAGAGGTTAAAGCGGAAATATTTGCGCGACTGCGACTTTGTTGCTCCTCGTTGTTGCCGTTGTTGTTGCTGCTGTAATTAATGGCAAACAATTACAAAAAAATAAAATAAAAAGCTGGAGAAAAATGAGCGCCGGCCAAGAACGAGGCCCCGAGTGGAATTACAGAATAAAAGGCGAAGAGCAAGTTAAAAAGTGAATTACCTGATAAAGGACAAAACGCGATTTGAGGTGTGTTTGCCGACCGACCACCTCCACCTTCTACCGTCCCACTGCGATTCCATATCCAATCCATCCGGTCAACAATGCGTGTGTCTCGGGTTAAGCACCGCTGCCCAGCATGGGTTCTCTGCTCTGGACAGTGGGTCATCACGTCTAAGCTTACTAATGTCAGTGGGAAGTTTTGTACTTTGCGAAACACCCCCCCAAAAGTGCTATATAAATGTGTTAAAGCTTTTTAATCGCTTTTCTATCCTTTTTGTAGTTCAATATATTAAAGTACTCTACATTTTAATCAGAATATCTATTAAAATTTGCAATATCTTGATTTGCTAGATACCAGATTTTCGTGGGATAAATCCAATTTAAAAAAGTACAACAAATCAATCAATTTGTACTAAGGCTATAGTAAATATTTATGTTATTTACTTTTTATTATTTCTAAAATTTTATTTTAGACACCAAATTTTAATTTATGTTTCCTTAGATCATTTTTGATGGGTTCCACTGTACTTATCCTTTCCTTATTGGGTACCTTCCCCTCCTGCCCCATCCCCTAACGGCGGTCAGTGTCCAGCTGACGCGCTTAATTAATTACGCGATTGTATTTGTGACTAACTGCTTACCTCCATGACCCCCCCTTACCTCCTCCGACACCACCACCCACCCTTTCTTGGGCTCAAACTTTTGTGGTAATGCAATCGCTTGTTTTGGTTTTAAGCGGCAGGGGAATGGGGGTTTTGGGTGCGGGGGCAAGGACGTCCCGTCACTGGGGAGAAATTAATACCCACTTAAGCTTAACTGGACAGTTGCTGCTCCGACTTCTTTTTCTTCTGGCGCAGATTTTTCTTTTTCTGGTCAGCTGCCGATTCTTCTTCTTGTCGAAGGTGATTCACAATGCGCATAAATAAACTGTTCCAAGTATTTCGACATTGAATGCCAATTTAATTTTGTTCTGGCTTACTCTACCCAACTTCCTGCATCTCGTTCCGTTAACCTCTTTTCATTTTTTGTTTAGTAATTTTCTTAGTCCTGTAATTATCCTTGGTAGGTTAATATACCCTCTGTAATGCAGTCGCGTTTTCGAAAAATTATCAAGTAAAAAACGTTTTTATTACCGAAAATTACAATGTGCGAACGGAAAGTAAGGCGGCTAACAGTGAAGGGGTCAATGGCAGTCGAAGTGGATAGATGCACTGAGAAAAATATAAAATTATGTTCTTAAGTCACATAATTCTCTATATCTCTATATATAATTATCCCAAGCTGGAAAAAGATTTATTTTACATTCTTTTACATTTATTTTTTAAAATTTTAGATATAGACTAAAACTATTTTTGAGAACTTAAAAATAGATAACCCTATTTTACTCTGTATTATTTTTGGAGGAGGGGGGCAGAGGTTTCCCAGGCTTCCCAGGTTTCCAGCTGTCCTTTGGTCAGCCTGTTTTGGGATGGTCGGATAGTTGTGGGCCCGTCAGCAAATAAACACTCTAACCCCACAACCAAAAGAGAAGCATAGCAGGAGGTTAATTTCATTAGAAATTCATATTTTTTTTGTGTTTTGGGCTCAGTATGTTTTCGATGGGTAGGGGTCAAAGGGGGGACTCTTTCGAGGGGCGTTGCTTCGACATGTGTAAATGTGAGCAATAAAAAATAAATTTTATATATCCAGCTATACTGTTGTTGTTCAGCCCGTTGTTGTTGTTGTTGATGTTGCTGTGTTATTATTGTCGTAATTTGTTTATAACGGTATTTATGAAATGGTCACAAGTCAACGCGTTTGAACAACAACTACAGGACTAACCCCAGGACACGCACCAGGACTCCCCACTCTCTAAGCCCCCTATCACCAATTATTCTTATTACGCCTATTACTACTTTTTTAACCACTTTCCATTGTTGTTATGCCTTGGATGTTGTTTGGGCGTTTGGGCGTTCGTCCGGGTTTCCCCGTAGCGCTTGCTGACCTTTTATGTTAATCGCATTTGGCTTGTAACTTGGATAGAGAGCGAGAAGTCTTGTAGCCAGTAATTGATATGCGTCCTAATCATGCAATCCTTTGTTACCCCCTCTAATTCCCTTTAATATTTCCGCCCACTCGGAGGGAAAACAACTTCGACTTGTGGCTTGTTAGTTGTTAGTTGTAGTGGAAGAAGTAATTACAAGCACTGCTTTTGGGTTGTATTAAGACTGAAGCTGACGTCAGCCCTCGAATAATGATCAGGAAAAGCAGGAATCGCCTGCCATTTTTGCATAATTAAGTGGTGAATCATATCGGTAATTATTTGGAGGGAATGAATTCTTAATTTAAGTTTATCATTCATCCCCATAACTTTAATTTTGCTCAATCTTCAGCAAAGATAGTTGAATTCAACTTTAAATTTAAATATAAACGTCGCTCCTCATCAACAACAACTGACTTAATTTAGTTGCTTGAAATAGTTTTGAATTATAACATGATGGTTACTAAAAACTCATTAATTTTATGTACAAACATTATGCGTACTTTTTTACTTCAAATATCTACTGTTAATCAAACTATTTAGGTATCTTAGCATCTTAAAATATAGTTTCTTATTTCCACATACAACTTAACTCCAAACTGCGTCGCCGTTTCGGACTCTCACAGATCTGGCATTTGTTGGCTAATTAATAAACTTTCACATATCTGATTTCGGATATCTTTTCACTTGCAGCCGCTTGAATGGTTTGAAATCTAACCGAAAATCGTTTTATGTAAATTATCAACAAAAGAAATGTCGAGAGAAATACGACGGAGATGAGTTAAGGTGCCATGAGGATTGAAAAACGAGGGATTTTTGTATAATTTATTGTATTTTGATAGTTAGAGTTTAATTACAGCATTTCACTTTGCCGTTTCAAGCAGCGAAAGTGCAAGTGGCATAGGTTTTTGTAGTACCGATCCCAAACGAACGATCAGAGGCTTCTCGGCAGCGGTTAACCTTTGACCTCCTGCCGCCCAGGTAGAAAATCTTGACCAAACCGAAACAGTTGCACTTTTACCGTCGCTGGTCGTGACCCCTCGCTGGAAATCATAAAACAATAAATCTTTTTAATATCTCTCCTTGTTCTTTTCGCTTCTCCGCTTTTTTCTCTAACTCCGTTTCGTGGGCGTTCGTTTTCCTTTTCTTTTGCGTCTTTTCTCGTTTCTCGAAGAGTTTCTCACGTCCTTTGTCGGGGGGGTGAGGTCAACGAGCGGGGGCGTGGCCATTACTCAAGTTTGTGGATTTGAAGTAATAACTCAGTGCGTCATAAAAATTTTAATTGCTTTGGGTTTCTTCTGTGCGAAAGCAGTTCGGGTAATTAACATTAACCCAAAAATGTCCAAGAAACAAAGCCGAAACAATGCAAAGCACCCACAGCAACATCGGCAACATCAGCAACAGCAGCAACAACAGCAGCAACATGCCACGAACAATGAGGCAATAAAAATTGCAGCGCATAATTTTCCACCACCGAACCCTTTTTTTCTGGACTTTGTTATTGCTGAAAATTTCCACGCGTATCAGTAATTAGTTTGCTATTGTTTTTCTTTTTTTTACTTCTTTTGGGGTTCGGGGTCAAAAGTGTGGCGATGCTTGGTAATTTTCCCCAATCTCTGGGACTGGCTGTAAGTTGGTCAGGAAAGGATCTTCTAAGCCAAGATCTTTTTAGATTCTAAAACAAGGAATCAGGGACAAAGGGCCGACCGACTTGACAAGCTGGAAATTTATATATGTCGGATCGAAAGGGCCAAAATCAACAGCAATTGTTGCATTGCTCGTGTGTGTGAGTGCTAAGTGGGTGCAATTAGACCGTTGTACGAACAGGTAAACAGGTAACCCAAATCGAGTTTCAGTCTGGGGTCTTCTGGCATTCGATTTCGGGGTCGGTCGATCACCATTGGCTTTGATCCCAATGCAACGAATTGAGCCACGCATCGAAAGGTGGCAATAAATTCTGATTGCAATTGACACTTTTATCGTAGGCCCAACGAATCGAGGGTGAATTTAAAATATCTTCTAATGGTCAACTGTTTTTCGGTCTTTTGTTGCAGACACTGGCCAGCGGAGTCAAGGTTGTGCATCTGAAGGGAGAAGAAGCCACTGCAGCAGCCGCATAAATTCAAAAAGAATACCAACTGCAGCAGCAACACCATTTAATTTACAGCAGCAGCACTGAAGCAAGCTGCAACTTTAGCCATTGACACAGCAGCAACATCCATATACGAAAGCTAAACCACAATACCGAATTTATCTGGAATCAGCTGCAGCAGCAACATCTACATATATTGCTACAGCCACAGAGAAGGCGGCATTAACCAGCAGCAACATGTGAGTACCACTCAAATTTCCATTAAGTGGACTGGCCAAATCAATTCGCTAATTGAATGCCGCGCAATTGAAAAGCTTCTTAATGTTGTTAAATGTGAACGAGTTGGCATCCCTCGATGCGGCCCTCTGCTCCCCATTTCATACCGCCCTTCCCCCTGCCCACTCCTTTCATACCCCCGGTTAACAGTCTTAATAGAATCAAAGAGCGACGCAATATTACTTTTAATTTGGCGTAATTGTGGCGGTCTCAGTCTCCTCTAAGTCTCAAAACCCCACCCCTTGCTACCTCTATTTCCTATAAACTGACTCACCTCCTCCAGCAAGTACACAGAAATTAAATGCATTATTTTTTATCAAAAAAAAATTTGTTTTTTAAATTTAAACATAATTTAAATTCTATGTTTCACATTGTTTTAAATCGCAAAGAATACGCTTGTATTGTAAATACAGATAATAAAAGAAGGGGAAAACCAAACAAACAATAATATTATATTGAACATTGTTTTGTTTTCTTTCTGTACTGAAAAAAAAATAAAATATTGCTTATATTCGATAATATCGTTTTATATATGACTAGGTATCAATGCATACTGAAGTTGGGTTGATATAAAAATCATTTTAACCATTTAAACATTTTACCATAAAGTGTCCGAAAATTTTAGTCAGAAAAAGCTAAAGGCGAATAGTTTTTTTCTGTGTACTGCACATCCCCCCTTTTGCTTGAACAGTTTGCGATACAGATTTACTTGTGTCCGCCGCTCTATGGCAACAATAAAGCACACAAATTCGAATTGGTCAAAGCAAACGTCAAAAAATCAAATATGGGAAGACCCCGGAGGGGTGGGTGCTTTGAGGGGTGTGGGTGGTTGGTTCAGGGGGAGGGAAAACGATGAAATCAATTAACCAAATGGCGCGAGTACTCGTCAGGCGGTCGACTTTTGCATTGGTTAGTAACCGCTTGCAAAAAAAAACAAAACGACAGACGTATAAATAGAGAATTGAAATCAAAATCAAAGAAATATATATATCAACTCACGCACACACACGCTTGTCTTCGAAAAGGGTGCCCAACCCCCCACTTCCGCCCCCCTCATCCGCCAACCTCAAAGCAAAAACCCGCAGTCCAAAAATTTCTCTGAGGAGCTTCAATTGTTTGCACTTGAGTTCAATTTCTGTTCGGTCGCTTTGGCTGCCCAAAATGCTTTTAAAGCTCGCCTGCAGAGCGGGATCGAATCGCAGACGGGGTGAGGGAGATATTTTCGTCATAACTATAAATTTTATTGAGATTCAAATGGTCTGCGTACAAATTTAGACACAATTATTACTTACTTCAATGACGCCAGCCAGTGGAATGGGGCAAAATTGAGGACTGTGAAGAGGGATTTCAATTTCAAGGGGGGAAATTCAACCCATGGGGTAGTTTCAACTCCAAATTATTGGAATTTGAAATGTTAAATTCAAAAATATATTCGTGTAGCAAAATATTAAAAAATTTACACTCGAAATGCGTAAAAAATACAAATAATTCACGTTTTATTTATATATTTATTCGCCAATGGATAAATCCTTATCTGGCTATCAGTTTTGTGTGTTTCTCAATTAAATTAAGATAATATAAATCTATATTTTTCATGTTACAATTTACAGAAAATAGCCATATTTAATTCAATGATCGAACTTTTGTTAGTTCTGTTTTAAATTGAAACAGATTTCTGGCAGATGTCAAAACAATCCCATTTATTCCCCCACCACCTATGCCACTTAATAGACAGTTCGTCAAATGACAATTACAACGACTTAATTACTTTTAATAAAGACGTCCGTATGTAGGCAAGCGAACAGAAAAAATACAGCTCTTCATTAGCGAAAAAGTGTACTCGGTCATTTTTGCATAATGTCTCATTATGCTTAGCCCAGAAAAAGGCAGAAAAAAGGGGGGTGTGGGTGCAGTTGGGGCTGTTCGCCTTAATACATACAAATTGGAAATTGATGAATTTTTCCGGTATGGTTTATGGTGTCTGTCCTCGGCTCCCAAACAAAATGCAGCTGGCCCAGGGGCCGAGAGTCTATCGCACTCGAATATCAATTAGTGCGGGTGGGGGTTTGGGATTACCGATCGGTCCGATCGATCCAACGTTCGATCTCCAGATCGATCTAACGAACAATCAATGGCAATTGCTGCCGAAGGGAAATTACTAATAATAATGACTTTAATTGAATACTGCGCACTTCATTCACCCGGCGTTCTAAATTTGAGTCCATGAAAAGAGGGCAAAACGGCAGCATATTATCCATTATGAACTTCCAATCGACCATAAACACTTGGAAGGGATCGATCGGTGGCAATGTCACACAGCTTGCTTTATATTTGGATGCGCCCGCCGGGTAATGAAGTTCGCCGATTCGCAGGCAGCCGAGTACTCACTCATGCCCCTCATTCCTCGAACGAACGAACGATTCAAGCATGAAAGCAATTTTTAATTTATTTTGGTTGAGCGCTTCACTTTTCCTAAAATTATGACATAATAGCAGCGATGGCGATGGAGCCGAGCAGCGAACCACCTAATAATGTCATATGGAAATTTACGAGTATACGAGTACCCAACCGGGTCCAAAAATCCGGGCGGGGGAGCTGCGACTCATCGAGGGGCATGGTGAACTGTGTGAACACCTCGACGCCAGCAGTGTGGGAAAAGTATATTTGGATGCCGATGCCGATGCCGATGCTGATGTCGCTGGCGAACACCTTCCGCTTCACAAATCAGCAGTGTGTGTGCTGGACTGTGTGTTTCGATTACTTCGATACTTCGAGCTCAGCACTGATGTTGACCAGTTGACCAGTTGTCAGTTGGCTAATGTTATAATTAACCTGACCATCGCCGTCAACGCCAGTCACATATCGATCCGCCGTCAGCTGACCCCTGAACCCAATCAAAGCCGCTTTTGAACGGATAATCCCTTCTGGCCCCGAAAATCGGATTGACACGTTTGGAGACGTAACGATAAAAGAAACCGTGTTCCGATAAGTGAAACCGTAGAGCGATGTTTTGCTTGGCAATTTTAAAGGGGTTTCGAACAGCAGCTTAAACACCACTTTGAATAATTTCTAAAGAAATAAGTTTTTCGCTGTTATACAACTCCAGCCTAAAATAATTTCATTATTAGAGCCTTTTTATTCACAATGGTAGTAAGAAGTTAAAAAACAGGATTTCTAAATATTTATTTTGTATTGAATGTTTGAATACTTGTTATAATGAGTTTACAAAATCCCTATAATCTGGTTACAATCATATATTATTAAGCAAATTAGTTAAATCGTGTTATATTAAAAAGATATTTAAATTTATATGCTTGGTATAAAATTCTTGACTTACTTACGTTGACCATTTGACAACTGTGAGCTTTAAAAAGTCAGGATAGTTCCTTAGTTGGTAACACAGAAATTTTTTTGGTTAGAGTTTACATATTATGCAAGTCTTTGGAATATCACATTTCTTACAAAAAATAAGGTAATGATTATTTAGAAATCATAGAGTTTAATCCACAAGCTCATGATGTGTATAGCAGACATAGTCCCTAAAATCAAATTAATAAAAGTTAAGCGAACTAAAATTTGTATGGAAACTAGATTGTTTCTTATAGATTCGCGTATTAACTTTATAGCGCTCGAGGACTATAATTGAATTGCCCTCATCTTAATCGGCTCTAAAAACAATTTAGATGAAATACCGTGGGCGAGAGCGATGGGCCAAGTATGTAAACACGATCATTAAATAAAACATTGAAGCCGAACAAGAAACGAAACAATAAAACGCACACACAGACACAAACGAGAGAGGGAAAGAGAGAGAAAGAGGGAGGTAGATAGAAAAATAGAAAACGGAGGAGAGGAAAAGGAGACAAGTTAGCCAATGAAATAAACGCAAATTTAATGACAACAAACGCGCCACGCACAACTTGGCCAATACGCGTTTTCCATTATGGCCAGCCGAAGCACTTTACAACGAGAGATCGAATCGGCCAAGAGCCAAACAAAAAACAACAACGTCAGAAAACGAAAACTACAAAATGGAATACATAATACACATAAAACACAAATAGTGAACAATGAATTAAATGTTATAAGATGTAGATACGGCGCAGCGACGAGCGCAGATACATTTGTATCTGCGTTTGTATTTTTATTTGTATCTGTATCCGCAGCCGGTCAGCGATCCACTGGCTGTGATCTCTCCTACTTCTACTTCGGATTCAAGTTGTTTTTTTTCGACTTTTTATGGCTTTTCAATACCGAAAGTTGACGGGCATACCAGAGGGAAAATTAATGCCAGTATGTGGTGTATCTGAGCGATACGTATACTATACATTCTTACGGCCATTGTTGCTGCTGTCGTAGTTGCTTTCTCTTTGTGTTAATTGTATTCGAATAATGATGATGCTGGGTTGCTTGTTGGCCTGCATCTTGTATCTAGCTTTGGCTTTTGCTATGGCTTTGGCTTTGGCTAATTTAATTTATGGCCAGTTTATGTTAATTTCGAATACCATTTAGTTTGTTTCTTTCCCGGCTGCTCACACTTTTTCTTCCAATCTACGCCCGAACAGATCAATTTCTGTCTCTGCATCTTGAATTTCTTCTTCAACGTTTCGGTTCGGTTTTTAAGTTCTTTTTTAATATTAACCATTTTTGGTGTAGACGACAGTTCATTGACATTTTCTATATACGAACCGTATCTAGCCATGTATCTGTCTACTTATCTTTATGAGTGTTGCTTTTGCTGTTGGTCAAAAGAAAGTCGAAAACGCGCTGGAGTGACGGCATCTTCGCAGTGGCATTTGCATAAATTTGGCCACACATTTCTCGGCCATGCGAAACTAGCAACTATCAACTATCAACTAGCAGCAACAATAACAGCCCCTGGCTAATTGCGGCCCATTGAGATGGCTATCGGCTAGTGGACTCGCCCCATTAAGACAGCCATTTGGGCAAAGTTGGAAATTAA